AAAAAATTTTAGAAATATATATGAAGTTTGGTTTAAAAATAGGGCTCCTCTCTTTTTTTTGTAAGGTTATAGTGTAATGAAAATGAAAATTAAGGAGTAGTAGAGGAGTAATAGACGACTTTAAAAGGAAATAAGAGAAAAAGAAAAATAGAAGAGAAAAAGGAAAAAAAAAAGAAAAAAATTTTCCTAATTAAAAAAATTATAAAAATATATGAAAATGAAAGTTAAGGAGTAATGGGGGAGTAATAGGGAATTTTAAAAGAAAATAAAAGAGGAAAAAGAAAAAAGAAAAAAAATTTTTTTTTTACTTAAAAAAAAAAAGTACAAATATATCTAGGAATTTCTCTGGAGCTGTTGCGGTCAGTGTGGGTTCGGTTCAGTTTCAGATAGCTCCTCGTTCCAGCTTACACTTCTCGATATCTACAGGCCCCTTCCGGTGTAGTCAGTGTTATCTACAGGGATTTTAATCTGTTGCACCAGTCCCTTCTGAAGCGGTTCCCTTTGTTTGTTTGGCTTCTGTTTGCTGGTCTCTTCAATGCCTAATTTCCGCCCTAACAGGAGGGCAGAGGTGGTCTCTTGTTCAGGTTGCTAGTTCCGTCGCGCTGCGGGGAGGGACTGGCGCTGGTTTCCCCGTCTACACTGCTCAGGCTCCCGGCTGTTCTACATGGAGCGTGCCCTGCGCTGCGCGCGGTTCCAGCCCTCGGGTGTTCCACAAAAGCGCGGAACAAAAAGCTGCGCCTGCTTTTTGTGCCTTCCCTGTCAGAGCAGCTCAGGCAGCCAGGAGCTTGACGGGCGCACTCTCCCCGGGTGCGGCGCCTTCTGCCTTCCGCGTCCCCAGCCCCAGTCCCCGCCCGCGCCAGTCAGGTGTCTGCGCCCTGTGTCTCGCCACGACCCTCCCGGCGGGTGTCGACCATCCAGAATCTCAGGAGGTCTTTGATTAGAAACTGGAGGCCTGTTTGCAGTGCGGTAGGGGCTGCGGTCCTTGGGGCCGAGCCTGCCCCTTTCCCCTCCCCACTTCCTCCAGTCTCCGGCGGGGCTGGGCCGGTCTGTAGCCTGCGAGCTCTTCTCTGGACTTGCTTGGTCCCTTTGTTCTGCGAACGGCCGGCAGTGTGTTAGGGCTGGTTAATTTTCTCTCTCTCTTTTGCTGTCCCACAGTTTAAGTTGGTAACTCACAAAAGCTCCCTCCGATTGTCCTCAGGGCACTCAGGCCCGGTCCTTACCCTAAGCAATGCCACCCGCTCCTCTCCGTTCCGCCCACACTTGCTGGTGGCGGATGCGGGTGTCTGGGGGTACTTTTCTGCTGGGAGTTGCTTTTAGGCACGTAATCTGTGGGTTTTATTTATTGTTCCCCTCCCAGTCAGGTTGCCCTCCGAAATTCAAAAACTTCCCCCAGACCCGCCAGTGTGAGGGTTTCCTGGTGTTTGGAAACTTCCTCTATTAAGACTCCCTTCCCGGGAGGATCTCCGTCCTTAGCTCTTCTGTCTCTCTTTTTATTTTTTATATTTTGTCCTACCTCCTTTCGAAGACAATGGGTTGGTTTTCTGGGTGCCTGATGACCTCAGCTAGTGATCAGAAGTTGTTTTGTGAAGTTTGCTCTGCGTTCAGTTATTCTTTTGATGAATTTGTAGGAGAGAAAGTGGTCTCCCCGTCCTATTCCCCCGCCATCTTGGCTCTTCCCCCCGCCTTGTCAGAATTCTTGAAGGTGCCGCTCAGGGTTTCTTTTTGCCCCTTCTCATACAGGATGACATCATGAAAGAAACATTCAGTCCCACTTGTCTCACGGCTGCTCTTCTTCTAGCTTATTTTTAGTCTTTTCTCGTGCAAGTGCTATTCTGTCCTAGACACAAGATTTAAATCTCCAAATTTCTCATGCATTTGCATTAACTTCTCAGGAATCAACCACTGTCTTCCTGTTTTTCTGGTCCTGTTCCCCTCCACATTTCCATCAGTGTCTTCCACTACTCAGACGGATTCCCCCTTAGCACTCTTTCTTAGGTCAAACTTATACTATCTCCCAACAAATTATTAAGTTGTTAAAGGAAGGGTTCCTTTGTGCTAGGCTCTATGTCAAGTACTAAAGACACAAAGATGAATGCGTCAAAGCCTTTGTCCTCAAAGAGCTTATGGTCCAACAGAACAGACAGGCACATAAAATGATTTTGATATAATGTGATAAATATGCAGAAGGTGCTAAAGGAGCATTTAGTCAGGACTGGGGTTTCCTGGAGAAGACTCTAAGGTTGAAAAAGTGTGAGAAGATCATTCAAGTCAGAGAAGCCTACACTGTATCCTTGGGAGTAACAAACACAGCATCATCTCAAATGGGTTGATTCTCAAGAAATACCTGTCAGAACAAAAAACAGAGCAAGTCCTTCTCTCCCTATTCCAACTCTGAGCATTTGCCAACATAGTCTCTTCATTCCTTTTCTAAAAAACGTCATCAATCGAGTTTGAAAAACATACTGCCAGACTCAAGCCCTGGTTCTTTCTGTAATATCCCTTTTCCCATGTATCACCTTTGAAGTTTAATACCTTGAAACACAGAAAAGAACTATGTTAAGGAAGTCAAGATAGTTCTCTCATTGATCTATACTTTTGTCCATCATACTCATTTGAGAGATAATCCAATTCCAAGGCAAAAGAGTATCTCTAGTTCTTCTAACTCATGGAAGAAGTTCCAACCTGCCATGTTGTTTTAATAATTTCATAACTTTTATCTGCTTTAATAAATTTTACATGGCTTCTTCTATATCTGATTCAAAATGTTTTATAGAACATGGGAAGGTTAAAGTTTATTCAATAATGGAGGGCCTGAAGAAGATTAAACGTGAGTAGAAATTTTTTATTAATAGTTGAGAACCTGATGCTATGCATTTATTTTTATGTGTTTTCTTGGTTATAAAACTAATACATAATATGTATACCTGTGGCTGATTCATGCTGAGGTTTGACAGAAAACAACAAAATTCTGTAAAGCAATTATTCTTCAATTTAAAATAAATAAATTTAAAAACCTAATACATAGAATAGAAAATTTCTATATTCACAAAATGAAAGAATGAAAAATATTTGAATAATCCTTAATGCTTTCACTAATGATAATCTATAATCTCACCACTTTCCTTATACATACACAACTTTTGTGCATTTAGCTTTAAAGTCTCACTTTTAATGTACTTTCCCATTTTCTTATTAATATTAAAATCTTACCTATTGATGGGTATGTCTAATGGCCTAAAATTTCTTCTTGGATGCCTCTGAAATTTAATACATTATCTCAGTACTTTTAATTTTCAGGCCTTTTATCACATTTATGTCTAAAATAATTTTCCCAATGCCACAATACTATGTTCTATAGTTACATTAAAAAAAAATGAATGGAAAGTTTGAAAATTATACTGTGAAATTGGTCAGTAGAGGCAAGTAAAACTTGTCTTCTGCCCTCTTTTCCTCAACACATACACAACCTCAGTCTGTACTTGATTATTAAGTAATTTTAATTTGCTCTCTGCACCAGCATTTTTCAATGAGTATGATTTTAAAAAAATTGAATTTTCTCTGAAAAACTGATTGTGTTTCAAAAAGAAGGATTGAAAAGTAATTAAGGTACTTTATGTAAGTATCTATAAAATGAATCTGAGAGAAAATAAATTTAAATTCTGGGTACCCACATTTAAACCTTCCAAGTGAGGGTTATTGTATTTTACTATTTGTGAAAGAAAAAAAAGCATCTCTTTGAATAAGCCCACTTTATCTCATCTATTTCTGCTTCTGTAGCTGGTGCCAGAAAACTTCCAGAAATGTCTACTTGGTAGCCTTTAACCGTGCACTGAAACTCATGCTGCTGAATTTAGGGATACTAAAAGCAGTCCTCCATGGCCATGTATAAGATCAGAATTCATTAATAAGCATTTACTGAGTACCCAAGCACCTGTAAAAATGAAAGTTCAAAAATTAAAAAGAGACAAGCAAAGTTCCTGCTTTCAGCAAGGCTCAGTTTTTGAGTACACAGTATATGCTCAATAAGTGCTTATTGACTAATAGAGGTTCTAGTCTCCTGCTTTCAAATAATTAAACACTCACTAACCCAAGCAGTTGTATCACAGTTATTCTTGAGCTAACCCTCCCAATCGAGGCCACTCAGAAGAAACAGTTATGTGAGTTATAAATGAGCCACCCAAATCAGAATCAATTGTTTAAAAAAACATTTACAAAGCTGAGACAGCACAATTTTACAGTGGTGTCTGCTTACCTTTCCATCGCTCTTCTTCTTCCTCTTTCACATCTTTTTTTCTTTTTAAATTATAAATTTGTGATAACACATTTACAGGAGACTTGGAAAATACACAGCAAAGTTACATATAGTTCCACTATATATTACAGTTATTTTTTAAGTAGATAAATTAAGATTTTTAGTTGGAGTTTCAATATCAAACTCTCAAAAATTGATAGAATGAAAAGACAGAAAAGTAGAAGGATATAGTAGACCTGAAAAACACTATCAACCAATTCAGCATAATTAAGATTTATACAGTTTTCACACAACAGCAGGATACAAATTCTTCTCAAGTTCCCATAGACTATAAACCAGGAGACACTGGAACATATCAATGGACATAAAACAAGGTGCAAAAACTTTCCGTTTCTTTTTCCCTATTTTTTTAACTTTTCCATACTTCTATTAATAAATTATTTTTCTTTCACTCATACTTCCCTGATTTTCCTAGTGGTGTTGCATTTTTGTTTTTTCTTTCCCTTCCAGACTCTATCAAACATACACATTTCACACGCTCACCCTGCTCACTCACTTGCTTTTGTCATTACAAAAGCCCCATTCCACTTGCTTGTCACCAAAATATGTTTTATTCTGTGAAGTCTACAGTGCATTAAAGAAAATTTAGACATTTAAAAGTGTATTTCAATATTTTTAGAAATTTCAAACAGTAGTGTCTGTTCCACAAGCTCACCAAATAATATTCAATTTCCCCTTATTAAGTTTTCTGTATGAAAGTGCAAGTGTTAGTCATTCAGTCATGTCCAACTTTGCAACCCCATGGACTGTAGCCTGCCAGGCTCGTGTCTCCATGGAATTACCTAGGCAAGAATACTCAGTAGGTAGCCATTTCCTTTTCCAGGGGATCTTCCTGACCCAGGGATCAAACCCAGGTCTCCTGCACTGCAGGCAGATTCTTTACCATCTGAGCCACCAAGGAAGCCCAAGATTTCTGTATAGATATAGGTACTGAGGAAACAGATTTTATTTCTGAATACTGCATTGACTTTTTTGTGCATTCGAACATGTACTACTATGATTTAAGTTTTCACCCTCAAATTTCAGATGACTAGACAGTTACTTTTTAGACAATAACATTTTTCACATTAAAAATCTTTCCTGCTAATTCCTATTTCACCATTGCTATTTTTCTAAGTCATAAAGGTAGATTTCAGTTACCTAGGCACAAACATAAAAATGACATGTCTACATGAACAACTTCAAGATCTGCTAATATTTATGTCATTTGATAATGAACATTCAAAATTCCATTCTGACCTTCAGTGCACTGTGCTTGGGTTGTGGGGTTCTACGTGAGAATTTTTTAAATCACACTTATTAGGAATGTAGAGAAACTTTACTATATATGTAGAAAAAAATAGAGTAGAAAAATAAAATCTGCTTCTTGTCAGGAACAGATATCTTCCAAGTCACATTCCCAGTCAGAGTTGTGGTGCTCCATGCAGTACCCAAGAATGGTATAAGATGTCTCTAAGCAAACTAATGTCTAGGCAGGGAGAAGAGCCTAAGAAGAGTGAGAGAATGGGGTAGGGGAGAGGGGAGGGGAAAGAAATGATAAGCTTTTCTTAATTCTACAAATTATGTTTTTTGTGGCAACCTACTCCAGTATTCTTGCCTGGGAAATCCCATGGAACAGAGGAGCCTTGAGGTCTACAGTCCGTGGGGTCACAGAGTCAGACATGACTGAGTGACCAACACACACACACACACATTAGTATTACTATCGCCCCTCCCATAAAGAAAATATATCTATTTTATGTGTACTCCTTTCTGCATGATACATTACCCTGTACAACCTTCACAGCTTAAAGTTACCACAGAATTTTCCATGTTTCCATAACCTGCCTCTGTCTTTTCTTGGTATTATAACAGTACATTATTGACTTTATCTAGCCAAATTAGACCAAACCTAAGTAACTGAGCCCTTTTTTCCTTGAGAGTTAATCTCCTCACATTAAGAAAACCAAACCGCCCCACATTTTGAGAGGAAAAAGACTTGAATCAGTACTTTTAAGGTATTTAATGGTTATTTTTCTGGCCATAGGATGGAGTACACTGAGGGAAGGAGAGTCTATAGTTAATATTATGACATATTTTGTACCCACGCATTCCACAGAAGTATTCACTAGAAAGAAATATCTATATCATTAAAAGGTGTATATATTACTCAAGGGTTCATAACCAAAGCACTAATGAAAATGAAATGCGTAGCAGATCATTTCTCTTGAGTCAAAAACAGGTTTCCAAAGTTACTTCACTTCTTTACATCCTAAGAGATGATAAATGAATAGTCTTGACCTCAATGCTGACTCTATGATGCTTTCCAAAAAAACTTTTTTTTGGAGTTTGATACATTAAAGCAGGAAAGAAAGCAATTTTAATTAAGATATATATCAGAAACAACTGACACTTCCTTCAGCTTCCCTCTCATCTAAGGAAAAATTAATATAAAATTACATCTTCCTATTCTACTTTTTGTTCACTTCAGAAATTTGTATAATTTTGACTCTGAATCTTGTCTTTAATCAAAAGGAATGGGGTCTCTACAGAAACTGATGAAAATCACAGATGATACCGAAGGTGAGTGAAACCTGATGATATCAGGCAAAGGTATTGTAATGATGAAGTTTAATATTTTGACATATTTCTTACTCCATGGTTATTTTCCTTAATTGTTTTGTCAATTACTACCTCTGTCTACTTGTTGAACACCATTGTTTCCCCAGTTGTTTTTCTGAGTTCCTTTGCCGTTTTACTGGGTTGGTCAAAAAGTTCATTTGGGTTTTTCCATTACATCTTCAGGAAAAAACCCAAATGACTTTTTGGCCAACCCAATAGTACATGCCACAATGCATCTCCTATGATAGTAGGTATTTCATATTGTTTTCTAATGGTTTCAACTCTGATGAACTGTTCTCATCTCTAATTACATTGTAACCTATGTGATGCAATTTACAGTACAGCTATGCAAAGCAGAGATTTCACTAAAGAAATTAGTTCAACTCATTGGGCTTTGGTGTCCTTATCTATAAATTGAAAAGAGTAAATTAGATGAATGATCTATCAGTCTCTTTCAGCTTTAAAATTCTAGGACGAACTTTTGTGGTTGACAGGTCTTCACTGTCAAGAGAGTGAGAAAAACAACCCACAGAATAGGAGAAAATATTTGTAAATGATACATCTGATAAAGGTCTAATATCTAAAACACATAAAGAAACCTTGTTAGCTCAACCAGAAAAAGACTAATAACCCAATTTTAATAATGGGCAAAGTAAATTTCTATTTTGATAGGTAGAAATTTGTCAAAAAAATATATAAAAATGACTAGTAAGCACATAAAAAAATGTTCAACATCATTAGTCTTTAGAGAAATGAAAACCAAAACCATGAGAGACTACTTTACACCCATTAGGATGATTATAACTTTTTAAAAGACAGTAACAAGTGTTGATAAGAATGTGGAAAAATTGGAACCCTCATGCATTGCTGATGGGAATGTAAAATGTTGCAGCTACTGTGGAAAACAGTTTTGCAGTTCTGAAAATGTGGAACCATATGACCAAGCAATTCCATTCTTAGCAATATGCCAAAGAGAACTGAAAACATATGTCCAAATATCCATCAAATCATGAATGGATAAGCAAAATGTGGCATACACATAAATGGAATATTAATCAGCCATAAAAAGGAATGAAGTACTGATACATGCCACAGTATACATGCACTTTGAAAGCATTATACTAAGAAAAGAAGACAGACTCAAAAGGCCACACATTTCATAATGCTACTTATATATAGGTAAATGTCCAGAATAGGTCAATCTATGCAGTCAAAAGACAGATTAGTAGTTGCCAGGAGACAATCACTGTGGGAGGAGAGAATGGAGAGTGGTCGTTAGTGGGTACAGGGTTTCTTTTTGGCTGATGGAACTGCTCTGGAATTAGGTAGTGGTAATGGTTGCAGGGTTCACGTATTGCTGAAGCATGACTTGGAGAATTTTGAGCATTACTTTACTAGTGTGTGAGATGAGTGCAACTGTGCAGTAGTTTGAGCATTCTTTGGGATTGGAATGAAAACAGACCTTTTCCAGTGCTGTGGCCACTGCTGAGTTTTCCAAATTTGCTGGCATATTGAGTGCAGCACTTTCACAGCATCATCTTTCAGGATTTGAAAAAGCTCTACTGGAATTCCATCACCTCCACTAGCTTTGTTTGTAGTGATGCTTCCTCAGGCCCACTTGACTTCACATTCCAGGATGTCTGGCTCTAGGTGAGTGATCACACCATCATGATTTTCTGGGTCGTGAAGATCTTTTTTGTACAGTTCTTCTGTGTATTCTTGCCACCTCTTCTGAATATCTTCTGCTTCTGTTAGGTGCATACCATTTCTGTCCTTTATCGATCCCATCTTTACATGAAATGTTCCCTTGGTATCTCTAATTTTCTTGAAGA